CTCACCAACTACGCCTGCGTTTGATTCTGCGCACCTGATGGTGTGACGAAATTCCTGAAACCGAGATGTTCTGCCGAAATGGCATGTATGGAGTGGATTACATACTTCTGCTACGTCACGTAGGTTGACTTGATCATGTGCGCCCTGCGGATGCCCCTAGACTTCCGAAATGCTTGTTGCATATCGAATCACTTTCAGGGAAATATGGCTAAACCGAAGCTACGTTCCAAGGACGTGATCAAGGTTGTTATCACAAAATAATCCCACTTTTAGATGTGTGATGTGATGACAGTGCATCGCTGCCAATCAAGAGCATCTTTGCCCAGACGCACAAGATAAGGCTGTTGCATCAGAAATAAAAGTTCTGTGTACTGGAGCTGTAACATCTTCTGGAGCCCAGCTCATTGATGTTACGCGCCTGGTTCTGTAGCCTTTGCGATCGTGTGTGCGGTAGCCAAACTGGTCTGGTAAGTCATCAACGTAGCCGTGAGGAGCCAAATTCGAAGAGACGATGGGCAAGTTGAATGTCTGTCAGCGCATGGTAATTCCGCTGCTTCCAGCTCCATTTACTAACCCAACTCACTAATAAGGCACATGTTTTGCATCATCGTTGTCGTTGGTCTGTACGTATGGCTGGGAGTTTGTTTTGTCGCATTTATGACTGTTTGGTGGTTGATATCCAAGGTCCGGATGCGCTTGTTACGATTGTTGACAAATGCCTACCTGTCGGAAACCGCCAACATAATTACTCGTCCTATGGGACTTTTACTCGTTACTGGTGGTGAGGAGGTGCATTTTTTGCTACAGTACTAGGCTCATAAAGTGGTTTCATCCGATGTGGAACATACTATAGTCCATCCGCAGCCACGTGTACGTCTGCTATACACGTTCCCCTTTCTTCAACTGTGTGGTTTGTGATTTTGGACCGGCTCTGAATCATTCTTGGCTGCCCTTCTTATTACTTTAGGTTTGCACTGGATATGGGGTGTGTGGATGGAGCTCTAGATGCTGCAGCTTCAACCACTCACGGTTCCTCTGTAGACGCAGGTGTTCTGTAACTGTTTACAATCGTATTGACAGGCAAATCTAGAGGCGGATACCTCCAAACCCATATATACTTATATACAACAGCTTGTCACTTCCAGACTTCCCAGCTGTACACAACTTTCTCCGGCATTAGTATAAACTGGCTAACTTTTTGGTTGCTCTTGCATTCTTTCCTCTTGCTGTAACGGTCACAACCAGTCGGCTTACTATCTATAATGTTTTGCGTAGCGTCCATTGCCAGCTGCTTTTGCTTGGGCTGCAACATGATATCGCATCAGAAGAAGTCATCCAATGGACCTCGTTGTGTTTTGTTGACTTGGTTCCAATCCGTACTCTCTATGGTCTGTTCTTGTTGATGTTTTGCAGTGTTCGCTCTTTTTTGCCTGTTATGTATCCAACTGTTACCTTAGGAGCTGGTTTTACTATCCTTTGTATTTTTGGATGATCCAAATTTCTGGTAGACGTTGTGTAGCCCTGGCGACTCCTAGACTTTGAAAGGAGATCTTGACAAACTTTTGGATTGTCTAACGTATTATGTACCCTTAAATGAAACCGTGTTATATTACCCATTGGCCTACTGGTCCTTTTATATTTTATCTGCTAAGCGTACACAAAATACCTCATGTATCCGAGCTGGCCGACTTGAACATCACACTATCATCTGACTTAGATTTCCGTTAGAACTAGAAAAGTCTACCTGAGTTTGGAATGCTGTGAGTGATTACCAGTTCATTTTGATTTGCGACATATGTGATGTCCACCGGATCCTTTTCATCATTTGTTCTGTCGTGCCTAGTGTAGTGCGCCCAGTGTTGTCTCTCGAGTATGATTTTATACAAGAGTAGGTCCCCATAGCTGTTTGTATAATGACAACTTTTACGGCAACTGTCACCCGAGTAACGGGTTAAGGCCTAATATTTTTTTCCACATCGGCAGCTTTGTGGTTATTTTGTGCATATCACAAGGCGTCAAGAGATATCGGCCGTGAGTTGTCTTGGCGTTACTATCTCATTTATGTTCCATTTCTTCGTTGTGCGCCTGAGCCACTCCTCACCAACCACTTTAGCTCTTACTGCTAAGCCTATATACTTTTCTCCTTCGTCTTCTTCTGGTCATATTTACTATCCAAGAACTTACTGGGTCTCGGCTTCCGTCCCGTTCATATGTCTTAGTTGGCTATAATCTCGGTAGTACGCTTAATAGCCGTCCCTCAGTTAACATTTCCTATTAACGCGCGGCGCTGTTTTTAACCTTTCCAGAGTGATACTAACCCAGACAGCTGAACGTGTTCTCATTAAGTCCAAAGTTTCGCCTTCCATGTAAGAAAATAGATCAGGCAATTTGAAAGCCTAATTGCTCAGACTAAAGACTTGCTTCCAACCTCATCAAGTGATGTTGAGAATCTGAAATCCAGTTTACTTTATAATCGTCACGAATACGTTAAGACCAAACCATCTAATAATAGTATATCAATAGGGAACAAATTCAGTCACTTACAGAGCTGCGGTTACACAACGACCTGATAATCTCCAAGCCAGACAAGGGTTCCGGCATAGTGCTAATGGATAGGGTGGATTATGTACGTAAAACGCAGCACATCCTCATTGACGAGAGTAAGTTCCAGAGACTCATGGCAGGAAAAGACATTACAGGGAAGTTAGAGAAACAGCTGACCGACTGCCTTAGGCGAATGATACAAGCCAAACTCATCACCGAGAAGGAATTCGAAAAGCTGAAGCCTTCAAGTGGACATCTACCGAGATTATATGGCCTGCCTAAAGTTCACAAGGAAGGCGCCCCAATGCGCCCAATCTTGGACATGGTGAGTTCTCCCCAGCATTTGTTGGATCAACGGATGGTGGCGAAACTGCGGCCGTTACAGAATTTGCTTTGCACTTACTGCGTGAGAGATACGTTCGAATTCGTTGACAGGATATCCGAAATCAATCTTGATAACAGAACGATGAGATCATCCGATGCCCAGTCGCTGTCCACAAAGATTCCATTGCTCGAAACCGTGGATTACACATGCGACTTTGCTCGGCAACTGCCCATATACACAACTTTTCTGGAGAAGTTACTAAACGAGGTGCTACTTCCTTGCACGTTTAATGTTCAGTTCACCTTCAATGGTGAAATGCACCATCAGATTGACGGAGTGGCCATGAAATCTCCTTTGGGGCCGCTGCTGGCTGATATTTTCATGGCGAAATTGGAACATGACCCACTTACAACGCACATCGGTGGAACCGAAATGTGCGTATGGTACGTTGACAACACCTTTGCAAATCCGAAAAGCATGCGGAACAGTTGCTGAAAGCTTTCAATGACTCACGAGAATCTCCACTTCACCTGTGAACACGAATTCGGAAGCCGGTTACCTTCCCTGGATGTAGAACTTATCCGTAACGGACGGATCATGCAGCAGAAAGGTACACAGAAAGCACATATGGACTGGGCAGTACACTAACTTCCACACCGCAGTATCTCTACAGCATAAGAAGAGTTTAATCAGATCTCTGGCCTTCAGGGCGCGCAGTATTTGTACACCGGATACCGTCAACCAAGAACTACAGAGAATCAGCGCCGCCCACAGGGAAACTGGTTATCCTGATAAATTTGTCATGAAGCATTTGTAGGAACGCAATCGGGAGCCATCTAGTAGCATTGCTCCAATGAAAGAGCTTTTCATACATATACCATTTAAGGGTGATTCTGCAGCTGATATGTTATCGCGACGGCTGAGAGCTGCTGTTGTGAAAACTTATTTCGCAGCTCGCCTGAGAATTGTTTATCACAACAAGCCGTTTTTTACAAAACCCTTGAAAGATAGGCTGCCGTTGTTGACGCATTCAGTGATAGTTTATCAGTACTCGTTTTCCTGTGGTGCACGATACGTGGGTCGCACTACGAGACGATTATCTCAGAGGACTCGTGACTACATCTCGGCATGGCTTTACATAGGCGAAATAAGGTCCTCAGACAGCTCAATCATGTCGCACCTTCTTGAATGTGGCCATAAAGCTTCCGAGAATGACTTCAAAGTCACATGCTCACTAGCTGAACACTTTTCTCAAGGATTCTGCAAACAGTTCTTATCCATTTCCGAGGCTATCTACATCCACCGTCTGAATCCGGAATTATGTGTACGAAAACGATTCATATGGCTCATACTACTACTTTGGCCGACTGACACTTAGTCATTTGGTTGTTACCTTACATACTTAATCACTTCGGACTACTGGGCTTTGTGTATGCATGTTTTTTAGTTCACTTCCTTTAACATCTGTATCCCTGTCTCAAGTTATCGAGTTTGATCGTTCAAACAGTCGAGAAGTCAATCCCAGCCCGAGTTGACGCTTTCCCTAAAATCAGTGCCATGTAAACGTTTGGGTCTGATGAGAGTTTACCGAAAAAATGTCTTTACTCTGAAGTGATTTCTGATGTTCTTTCATACTAATGAAATGGCAAATATTCGCTTTGCTGAAGACCAACGTTGCCCGTGATTCATTGAAGCCCATTCGTATGTCTTAGTTGGCTATTTGTGTAGTTCTGCTGATTACTTGTCATCTCCTTGTTTCGTTTTTGGACAGAAAGCAACATAGGGACTTTGTGTCGCCAATTTAGTTTAGCTAGTTTAACACGAACTCGCGGCTTCACACAGCATCCCACGACTCCTATATAGGATACGCTTGTTATCTAACTCCTTTTCTTTAATTACTAACCTCGGTTACTGCCTAACTCTGGCATCACTTTTTGTCTATCTCATCCAGCTTATTTATTCGTTCGAACTCTTTTACCACACTTTGTGATAGGTCGTCAGTTGGTGCTCTTTTTAACATTCGTCATTTTTTGCTATGGCTAGTCGTTATTTCTCGGATTGGATTTCGTGTCGCTTATTGGCTGATTGCGTCATCTACGTGACAGTAACTCGTTTCGTTCATGTTTTCATAGGACTTTCTGAAAAATGGTGAAGGTATCTAGTAAGAATGATCCCAGATACGTTCGTACGTGGAAATGCCAAGTTTCTGTTGGCGAGCTATACCGATGGATTTTGGCCAAATTGTCTGATAAGGACATTAAACGTGCTCTGCACAAATATCGGGATTTAATGCCTAGACAATCAGACTGGAATCGCAAGTTGACCCAGGCAACTAACATGCCTGAACTGGGCTTTCGCTATTTGTATCGATGTGGACAAATAGATGAGAGCAATCACAGGACCATGCAAAAGATGCTGAAATACATCGATCGACAGGATGTCATCCCTTACTTTGAAACGATACTCTGTAATACTAATTACGCTAACTGTTCCCTAAAGGACTTGCAGAAAAGTACGTTCATTCGTTTCTTCCTCATCTTGTGTGTAGTTCTACTAGATAAAGTGTCTGTGTTTTTACAACTGACTTCCAGCCTATCTGACGATGAGATACATCCTGATAGTGTCTATGAAATTCAGCATTGCCGACGGGTTGATCCGGATCGTATGACACGGTCAGTTTGTTTTACCGTACTGGACTTATGCCCACTGGTCATTCACTCGGATGTTGTTTGGTTGTGATATGTTATCCATTTGCGTTCAAAGACCCTAGCAGACTTGGCACAGTCACTGGCTTTCTTGCACTCGGTTTTTTTGCATCTACCTGTTAATCGGCATTCTATCCCGATTAGTTTTACGCTTTTCTGTCATTATTCCATTTTTCTGTTCTGTTTGCCATCAACTTCATTTTCTTGTTGCTGTTGTTCATTATTACTCTGGCGACATAAGCCGTGGCAACTGGGGTCAGCGCACTTCGGTATCCGAGTCATAAGTGTTTGACTGAACAGACTGAACTGCGTCCGAAGTTTTCACATTAAGCAACTTTATGATTTGTAACTGATTGTTACACTCATTCTTCATCATATATATATGCTTCTTGCCTAAAATTTGACCAGGACCGCTGGTGCCTGGAGGAGGAAGTGGATCGTTCCGTTTTACCCAGGAAAACATCGTTGATTGACACCATACTTAGAGGAAATTTATGAGTAATACCACTACTTGTTAAACAGCGATGATGCTACCACATTGGGTTATGAAACCTTTACAAACGAACTGCTGAGCTCAATGCGCAAGTGGACACCTGATTCTGAAATCTTTGCTACAGCTCTACATGCCAAATCGATTGACTGTGGTAGGCTCTCTTCTGGATGAAGTGAGTTAGGACTCATCATCATCCTCATCATCAGTACAGGTTAGCTGATGGTGAGAAACACACCGCTAATGTGCCGCAATTCAAAAAGGTAAGATACCAACAATTACTACAAATAATCCAAAAAGCAGCTAATATAGTGTTAAATGTTATGTTAAGCATTTCCTATGAGATCGTAGTTGCAGGGGGAATCTAAAGGGAAGAAGATGGACAAAGAAACTCACAACACAAACGCCATTGGGGCCGGCTCTTCGCCTCTTGTGCACGAAAGGATCACGATTGATCGACTGACGGACTTAGTTGACCGTCAATATCTTTTTGCTGTTGGACGATCTTACGTGCCGCACGATTCAACATGTCCGTCACCCCCTTTAAAGTGCTGAATGCAGTAATAGGGCAGCCGATTAATCCCTGATTCTTACATTTACCGGGCAACTACTCATGTTAGTCGCTCGGTTCGCCTGCTCTTTTAGTGTCATCATCTGTGACAACCAGCTAAGGTTGATCCACGAAGTAGTGCTGATTAAGCCACAAAGTTGGATTGTGCCCCGCACCGCCAAGGAATATACCATTATTTATTTACAGGACGCTGTTAGTTTCTGCTTATGTTCCCACCAAGGACGCCTTTTACCACGAACTGCACGCGCTACTACGCAGTGCTATCAGTTCAGATATCATAGTACTTGCAGGCGATATGAATGCAGAACTGGTGCATCTGTTCTCTTGAGAAGCTCAACTTGGTGGTAACTATGGGCTTGACTCCGAACGTACGGACAACCGCGAGCGTCTTGCAACTGTTTGCCGTGCACCACCTGTTTTTTTTGCAGCACCACCTTTAGACACAGTTGGTGCCGAAATGCCACTTGACGTCCTGTAGCTGGCCAGCGGTGGACCCAAATAGAACACATTGCCATAAGTTACAGGTGGCGTGGTTCCATTCTGGATTGCCGCTCGTTCTGGACTACTTGCGTCGACTCTGACCATGTCTTGGTACACTGTTGCTTTTCTATGAACTTCACCGGTATGCGCACCAAACGTCTTTCCCGATTGGCAACTGAGAAATTATCACAACCCTCGGCCAAACAAGCCTACCAAGATGCACTGCATACCGAACTTTCGCTATCTTGTCTTAATGACACAGCTTCAGTGGAATAGGATCTCGGCCCCCATGCACAATGAAGGAGCCTCTAATTGTGGTACTAGTAATCGTCACCACACTGGTTACTTTATATCCGAAACGCCAGTGGACCTGTTGGAATCCAGAAGAAACCACCGTGCCGGCTTTGAGCACCGTGTGATCGGCGCGAACCAAAGCGGAGCCTGCTCGCCAACACGGAACTCTGATTTACCAGTCGCGCCCAAGGAATGGAGAAGGCGGGAGAGGTATGCAGTTATCACAAACTCTTCTAGCTGATCCGCACCACTGGTTCCAAGAAACCAGGCGTCAGTGAGACAATCAGAGACAGCGCGGGAGTAGTTATTCACAATAAGGAGCACCGTAAGGCTCCGTTGGGCGGAACACTTTCAAGATCAGTTCAGTTGGCCACCCTCTTCCGGACCTCTTCCTGCTCAGGTGATGCAGGACGAGCCATGGACACTTACTTTAGAGCCTCCATCGGATTCTGAGCTCCGAAACGTGATCACAGCCCTCAATCTTTTTCGTGCTACTGGCCCGGATCCCCTCCCACCTGCAGTCTTTAAGGATGGACGTGAGGTACTTTGCAAAGCACTGATCTCCCTGTTCGAACAAATCTGGAAGGAGGCTGTCCTGGTAAACTGGAGTGAATCAATTATAGTGGCATTCTGCAAGAAGGACAGTCGCACCGACTGTGTTCACCACAGTGGTATTAGCCTAACGCCGGTTGTGACCAAATTACTGGCCTCGTTCCTTGTTAATCGCCTCACTGCGGAACGGGAATCTCAGATTGGGGAAGAGCAGGCCTATTTCCGCTTAGAATGAGGCTGTATTAACCATATATTTGCTCTGTGGTAAGTGTTATAACAACGCCACGCACACCGTAGACAGACAATAGCTGTGTTTCTGGACTTTAAGTGTGCGTTCGATTCAGTCGGTCGATCCATTCTGTACGAAATACTCGCGCGGAAAGATGTTCCCACGAAATATGTAAGCATTTTACCTGCTCTGCACTTAAACACTACAGGCCACGTCAGGGTCTACGGTGACTTGTCTGACATCTTTCCGGCCACGTGGCGTTCGTATGGATTGCCCAGTTTTCCCATTTTTGTTCCCTTTTGTCGTGGACTTCATCATGGAGTGTTCCTTTACGGAATCATAGATGCAAAGGTTGAGGTGCTTCCTGGTGAAACGCTTATTGATCTTGATGATTCTGACAATATCATGTTGCTGTTTAACGCTGTCGGGGCGGTGCAATCAACTCTGAGTAGCCTCTCTACAGTGGTCCCATCATTTGGCACGCGCTTCAAGCATTCAGAGTGTAGTGTTGCTGCGGGACCACTAGCCACTTGATGATCGCTTGACACTGTGCCGAGGAACCCGAGGTACTTGATCCCCTCACTTACCTTGGCAGCTGCGTCAGCTACGATGAGCGCGTAGCAACTGAAGTCAGCTTATCTATTGCAGAAGCTAGTTCTGCTATCTTAAACTTGCGACATATTTGGCGATAGAAAGGCGTTTCCCTACTTCTGAAATGGTGTGTTTTCATCTCCACGGTGAGGGCCGTCCTACTCTATGAGATTGACACTTGACCTCTTCGGTCTGAATACCTGAGGCGCCTTCAAGTCTTTGATCATCGTTGTTTGCGGAGCATTGCTGGTGTCGGGTGGCACCAGCATGTCCGCAACGGTGATGTCCGTAAGCGAGTACCAAGCAGTGATACTCAAGATAGTTCATTGGAACAACAGATAGCACTGAATAAGTTGCGTAGGCTTGGACATGTACTACGTGTACCTTATCACCGCTTCCCGAAGATGACCTTGTTTTCTTTACCACGTTTAGGGTGGCGCAAGACTAGAAGTGGATACAGGTTGAATTGGCAGTGGGAAATGAAGGTATTGACGACCCAACTAGGTGCCGTCGGTCCGTCTAGTCTTCCAGACTGGAGTCCACGTGACTCGCCTTGTGCTTACATCGTGACTTTGCAAGACATGGCTCGCAGTCAGCACCATTGGCATGTCTGCTGTTTTCTCGCAGTCGGACTGCCTGTCTGAATCGTGTGATGCGGAATTATCTGCGGAGTAATGGCTGATTATGACGCGTGGCAATGAAAGCCGCAAGGAAGCTGTCTCCGATGCCACTTTATCTTTGCACTCTAGACAGCTGTTTGTGACGGTATATTGTTAGCACAAGGTGCAGGCGCCTTGACCCTGAATGTTTGCTTATGGCATTAAGATTTTCCGATAAGTCCCCCTTCGCGTCATTTCGTTATTCTTCTTGCCGTAGGTAGTTACGGTTGTACGGCAGTGAATCATCAGTACAAATGACTGAGGTACTGCTGCTGCTGCTACTGCTGCTGCTGCTGCTGATGATGATGATGATGATGATGTTGATGTGGAAGTCTCCTCGTTGACAGGTTACATGTATTTTTAGACGGTTTTTTAATCCTTCGTCTTTTATGGTGACGGCTACATACTAGCCTATTTGTCTTGGCAGGGTCTATACGGGTACGTTGCGTTTGGTGTTAATGCGTGAATCCGTTTCGCTCAACATGCCTGGACTTTCCCGTGCACCATCTATGCTTGTTATTGTTGTCAGTACTCCTTGTCCAGTCCATTCTTCGTTCGATGGATTCCGCACTATTCGATGCGAACGCCCGCACTGCTGCAGCTATTCATCAAAGTATTACTGCTATTGTCGGTACCTACCTCATACTCCTCTCGTGTCGGTGTCACTCGCGCTGATCATAATAACCGTATTCCTGACCGTTTGAATTAAGAAATCGCACTGCATTGATCGTCTCATGACGACATTCGGTGTGAACGTATGCCGAAACGATGGAAACTCTACAGGTTTCCAGTCTGTCAGGGAAGTAAAATCTCCCGGGAAAACTCATTAATTAAATAGAAAAACAAGTTGAACCATTGATGTGCGATCGAAATATCAATCAGTTTCAGGAACGTTCGCGTCCATACGACGTGCGGAATAACCTTTCCATTGACAAGCAGAACTGATCTACCAATCCGGACAGCTGCCTAGCTGTTCTGATACGTGAGGCTTCCTTAGTTGATTTATTAATGTCTGTCGATTTCACGCTACTTCTTTCCGTTTCGGTAGCTGGTTCTGTAACAGACTTTTGCCTCCAAGCGTTGACTTCTGACTTTTGGCTG